TATATATATATATATATATATATAATATATATATAAATATATATATTAATAGAATATATTTCTATTAAAAATCCGCAATCAAGATGGCTAGCTCTTTTAAGGGAGATAAATTAATTGGTAAATCAAATTACCAAGAATGGATTACTCCCGCAGATTTCTATTTAAAGATTAATAGCTATATGCTTTATATTGATGGCTCTAAAGAAAAGCCTAATAAAGAGCTTTATTACGCTAAAGCTAAGAATGGTGAGGGAGCTATTACTTGGTCCTTTTATTCACTTGAGCTAGCCGTAAAATATCTTGATAAATTGAGCGAATTCGAAGAAGCTAATAAAAAAGCTTTGGGAGCGCTAAAATCTATTATATCGCTTGAAAATCAAAAGCGATTTAAAGATAAAACTAGCGCTGAGGATCTATATGAGGCTATAAATGAGACTTATAGCGATACAGGGCTAGAAGAAGTAAATCGATACGTATATAAAATGGTCGAAACAACTTATAGCTCTTGTAAAAATATAGATGAATATACTAGTATTATTCAATCTAATGCAATTTATCTTAAAGAGATGAATTGTGAGATTCCTAAGCCAGTATTAGCTAGCCTTATATTCAAGGGTTTACCTAGCTTTTTTGATAGCTTCGCCTCTAGAAAATTTAAGGAAATATCTAGTAACCTTAAAGAGGTAGATATCGATTCGCTTATATCTGATTTATTATTAGAAGAGGCCCGAATGGGTACTAGCGCGGATTTAAAAGCAAATAAAGCGTTTAAAAATAACGCTAAATATTGCTCGCATTGTAAGCAAAAGGGGCACTTAAATTCAACTTGTTTTAAATTGCACCCCGAACTAAAGCCGAACTTTAATAAAAAGCCTAATAATAAGGCTATATCGGCTAGGGATAAAGACTTCAAGAATGGCTCTAGTAAAGCACTAATGAGTGCTTTTACTAATTCTAGCTTTAATAGTGAATTAAATCACTTTGGCATAGCTTATTCTATTACGAATAATAATAAATTCGTATTAGATTCAGGAGCCTTAAAGCATTATTCGCCTAATAAAGCTTGGTTTATAAATTATAAGCCAATAGCTAAGAAGTCTATAATTATCGCTAATAGCGATATTATGCTTATTCTAAGCATAGGTGATATCTTTATTAAGTCGAAAACAGGCTTAGAGATTATAATTAAAAACGTCAATTATATTCCTAAGCTAAAAACGACCTTAATAAGTTCAAAAGAGCTTACAAATAAGGACTGGGCTATTAATTTCGATCGAAATGGAGCTAAAATCTTTTATGCTTCTTTCAAACCTTATATTAACGTAAAATGGGCTAATAACGCTTATTTTATAGAGGTCGAAATTAATAATAAATACTTAGAACCTCTATTATTCAAGGTAGATCCTTTTGTGACTACCAAATTAGGCCTTTATTATAAGCGCTTATTGCACGTAAATAAAGATTTTGTTTTAAAAACAATCGATAATAGCGAAGGTCTTTCTAAAGCTATTGAACAAAATCTTGAAAATTGTGAGTCTTGCGTAAGTAGCAAAATTACTCAAATGAATAGTAAAAAGCCTATGTCAGACTCACCCCTTTTAACCGCTTTCGATATAGATATAGCAAGGCCTTTTAAAATTAAAAGCTTATTAAAGGAACGATTTTTCGTTACTTTCACGTGCAGAGGTTCTAGAGCCATTTGGCTATACGCTTTAAAATTTAAAGCTGACGTATTCGATCGATTAGTTGAATTTTATAATATGATTACAACTTAATTCGATCGAAAACCTAGCTTTAATATAAAAGTATTCAAATTAGATAACGCAAGAGAATTCACTTCGAATAAATAGACTACGTTTTGCAAAAGCAAAGGTATAATTTGCGAATATACTAGTCCTTATTCACCTTCTTAAAACGGCATAGCCGAACGATTAAATCGTTACTTAATTGAACGCTTAATAAGCGTATGTAAGGATAGAGATATACCTCTATTTTTATGGCCTCAATTATTACAAGCAATAGCTCATATAAAAAATCGGTCTTATAACTCGGTTATTAAAAAGACCCCTTACGAAGCTCTTTACGGCCAAAAGCCTTATATAGGCTACTTTAAAATACTAGGTTCTCTAGCTTATATATTAAAAAATAAGCGAGACAATAAATTGGCCGATAAAGATGAAAAGAGGCTATTAGTTGGTTTCGAATCAGCTAATAATTACTTGATCTACTTCCCGAGTAAAAGAGTCGTAATTAGTTTAAAAAACGTTCTTATTAAAGAAGACCTTAAATTTAAGGACGAACTAATTAACGAAAAGAGCGATTATTTCGATATAATCGAAGAAGAGTTACCTTCTACTAAAGGCGATGATGATTTTACTACTAGTATTAAATCAATCGATAATACTAGTAATAATCAGCCGAATATTAGCCAGCCGAGAGTCGTTGAAATAGAAGAAGCCGAAGATCAACCTTATTTTGACGACACTGAATCTCGCGCTAGCGATGCTCTTAGTGATCTAAATACAGATGATCCTAATAAGGCAGAAGCGCTTAAGGCTCCTAAAACTCGGGGCCCGGCGAAAGATTACTCCGATCAAAGACCAAACGTAACTATTAGATCGAGTAAAAATAACTCTTTTAATTTAGCTATTACAGAGCTAAATAATCGATTAATCGAAGAGCAAATACAAGCTATGTCGGTTTACAAGAACGTAACTCTTCTAGCTTCAATGGCTTTAATTAGCTTTAAAACTGATCGAAATCTCGATCAAGGGCTAATTAAATTAAGCGATAAAAATAGTTCTAAAGTAACTATTAAAAAATTCTCTATTAGCACTCCGCCATTAGAGCCTAAAAGCTATGAGGAAGCTATAAACTCAGCCTTATATAAGGACTACTGGCTTAAATCTATGCAAAATGAAATAGATTCATTAGAAAGCCAAAATACTTGGAAAGTAGTCAATAAAAGCGCTAGCAATAATATTAAACCCTTAAAAACTCGATGGGTTTATAAAATCAAGCAAGGTACGTACCGATACCTACGAATTTAAATCAAGGTTCGTGGCTAAGGGGTTTGAGCAATTATATGGCTTAAACTATATAGATACTTTTGCTAGCGTTGTTAAACAAATGGCTTGGCGCTTAATTTTTGCGCTAGCTGTTTTATATGGCTGGTTTATATATAAAATCGACATGATATCAGCTTTTACTCAAAGCGATATTGACTTAGAGCTATATATAATTCCTCTAATAGGAATCAATAGCTCTAAATACGCGAATAAGCTATTAATGCTTAATAAAGCATTATACGGACTGAAACAATCAGCTCGCTTATGGTTTATCACGTTAAAAGAAGTGCTTATACAAAAATTCAGCTTTACGCCTTTACTAGCTGATAGCTGTATTTTGTATAATAAAGAGCTAAAATTAATTATTAGCGTTTACGTTGATGATTTAGCACTTATTAGTCCGAATATCGATACAATAAAATCCTTTATTAAAGAACTTCAAAAATACTTTAAATTAAAGGATTTAGGGCTAATAAAAGATTATTTGGGTATCGATATCGAATACGATATTAAGCGAGGCTATATGAAATTAAGCCAAGAATCTTATATTACTAAGATTTTGAATCGTTTCGATATGCTAGATTGCAAGCTTAAACCAATACCAATGGATTCAAAGGCTAAATTAGAGCTTAATCCTAATAAGGCTAGCGCGTCAGAGATCACGTGGTTTCAGCAAGTAATAGGCTGCCTTTTATTGTTGACGCTAGCAACTAGACCCGATATTTGCTACGCTGTAATTAAGCTAGCTCGATTTGCAAGCAATCCTAGCGAAAGCCATATTATAGGTCTTAAAAATATCTTACGATATTTAAAAGGCTCTATAAAACTAGGGCTAATTTATCAAAGAAGCCTTAATAAATTCGTTAGTGGCTATTGCGATGCTGATTACGCTGGAGATATTGGTACAGCAAAATCGACTAGCGGTTTCAACTTTTATATAAGCTCTAGCTTATTTAGTTGGAAATCAAAATTACAGAGTATAATAGCTCAAAGCACTACTGAAGCTGAATATATGGCGATTAATTCGGCCGCTAAAGAAGCTGTTTATATAAAGCAACTTCTTACCGAATTAGGCTATTATATGCAAGATAAATTCTCTTTATATACTGATAATAACGGCGCTTTATTACTCGCTAAAAACCTTGTTTTTCACGAGAGAACAAAGCATATAGCTGTTAAATATCATTATATAAGAGATCTTATAAACAAAGGTATTATAGACCTTGTTTATATAAGAACTTTGAATCAAAAGGCAGACGGGTTTACTAAAGCTCTCGATAAGCTTAAGTTTAACGAATTTGTTAAACAATTGCAACTTTCTTAATTATATTAAGAAATAAATAGATTGCAGGTATAAAAGCTCTGTTTTAAAACTAGCTTTTATAAGGGTTAAGAGGCGCAGTTATATAGTTCTTTTATATATAAGCTCTGATTTAAATCTAGCTTATTAAAGTAATGATTAAAGGGGCGTGTTGATTTATAATCATTACTTTGCTTAGAATATTCTAAGGTGTTGATTTGTAATCAGCACTTCTAGAACTTTCTAAGCGAAGTTAGGTGACTTACCAGAACTTTTAGGAACATTTTACTTGATTTTGATTTGTAATACTATTACGTATTCTATGAGTCATATAGAAGGCTCTAGAACTACTTAATAGTCTATATAAGACCTTGAAAGGTCTCCTGTATTTACTTTAAGCAAGCAAGCAAGCAAGCAAGCAAGCAAGCAAAGCAATTTGGACTCGTCTTTTCCTTACCCCAATTCCTTATTCAAATTTCACAGCTTAGCGTAGTATTTCTGGTACTTAATTATTGCTTACTTTTTTAAAGAAAAAAAAATAATAAATTTGTATTAAAAGCGATATTAAATCGAGAAAATAAAGTATATTAAACGAATAATACCTCGAACGTATCGCCGTGCAAAATAGCTTAAATAAATAATACTTTATAAATATCGAATTGAACTTTAATTAGCTCGATTTCCGAACTAAAGTAACGACTTTTTAAGTAATATTTATTAAGTATATCGAATAGCATGCTCGACGGATATAAATCAAAGAAAGATCGCTTTTAAAGTAATAGCCTCGAAGCTTATATGCAAAAGCATTTAATTATTAGCTTAATAAATATCGAATACTTCTCGAAGGTATATCGCAAAAGCATATAGTTAATAGCTTAGCGTATAACGTAAACTCCGAATATATAGCTTTTCGCAAAAGAAGCAAATCTAAAAAAGGTATAAAGACCAACCTTTAATTCGATTCCTTGCGTAAATTATTAAATATATATAAAAAGGAAAAGCTCCGATATATACTTAACGTTAAATTAAAAAATATATATAAATATAACTATAATAAAATCGTAAGTAAATAAGAAAGGAAAAAGAGAACGATCGAAACACACTCGAATGTGTTTTATAAGTACGTATATTATATTATATAATAATATAATGCTAGTTTAAAGAAGAACCAACTATTCGTTTATATAAAAGCCTACACGTGACCTAACCACGTGCCTAACAAGGCTAGAGCATGCAGCGCACGCACGTGACAAAGGTGCTTAGCATCAGTATTATATATATGGACAAAACAAATACAAAGCCCCAACTCCACCATACTATTGTGGAAGGAAAGAGCTCCGACATATACCTAATGTTAAATCAAAAGATATATATGAATATAGCTATAGTAGAATCGTAAGTAAATAAGAAGGGAAAAGGAGGACGATCGAAAGATATTCGAATGTGTGCTATAAGTACGTGTATTGTATTGTATAGTAATATGATGCTAGTTTAAAGAAGAACTAACTACTCGTTTATATAAGAGCCTGCACGTGACCTAACCACGTGCCTAGCAAGGCTAAGGCATGTAGCGCACCCACGTGACAAAAGTGCTTAGCATCAATACTATATACATAAACAAAACAAATACAAAGCCTTAACTCTATTATATACGTCTTTCTTTCGAATCAGACTCGCTTTCGAGTCACTTTTTATCAAAGTGATAAGGTTAGGTTTGCAAGACTAGCATATAGCCGAATTGCATAATCGCAATACGGTCTTAAAGTACTACTTAATAATGCATCGCCGGATCGGTGATAGTATAAAGCGTATATAATATAATAAAAAAGATAAGAATAGCAACGAAAATGCAAGATAATCTTTTAAGTTTAATTCTTTTTTATATCTTTTATAACTCATTTATTCAATTATAAGAATAATATTAATTCGAGCGTTAGTATTATCGTTAAAATAAGCGTGCGCCGGTTTAAGCGGTCAAGTAATAACGCACTGCCGAATTAATAATAGCGCGGAGCTTAAAGCGGTAACGTAATAAAGAAAACAAAAGCGGTAGTATATACTCGAGGTCTTGCTATAAATAATCAACCTTTTTTTTATATCAACCTTACACCTTTTTACTTTTCTTTTAACACTTATCATTTACTAACCTCTTTTAATTATTATGTTTTCGATTTGCTTTCGGTGCGTAAGCTACGCAAACAAAATCATCGATAATGCTGCGAGTTAATACATCTTTTCTTTCGATACTTTTATTAAATGCAAGCGTTGCCGTGCTATTAAGTCAACTTATATCTCCGTAAGTTATTTTATTTTTCGTTTTATATTTGTTTTAACTTCGATTCGATAGCTTTTCGCAAAAGTCGTTAGTGCCGGTATAGTTTTAATAGATACGATAACGGCTATAGATAATAGAACTAAAACGGCCGACGACGTTTTTCGTAAAAGCATAATTGCAAATAACTTTTTTATAAAAACCCGCCGTGCTTTTGCCTTTCGAGTTAATAATGCTTCTTCTTTTTTTCGAGCTCGTATCGCTGCTGCTGCTCTTGCCGCCGCTAATGCTAAAGGTCCTTTAGCTAGCTTAAGTCTCGTCTCAGCGTTGCGCTTACTTGCCGCCGCTATTATCGCCGATTTAGCTTCGCTAGATTTATTACGTTAGATCTTAGCTATAATAAATCGAAACAATACTTTGTTAAGTAACTTCTTTAGCCGCGTAAGTGTATATTACGAACCTTTTATAATTTCTTTCCGATTTGATTACGATAGATTATTGAAAAGTCTTCGTCTTTTTTATTTTTATCTTCGGAATCGCTAACACCTTTTACGCCTTTTGCTTCTTTTGCGAAAAAGCTTCGCCGAAGTGCTCGTCAAGCTTCTATTCGCGGCAATACCGGTAGTTCTTTTTCGCGAGGTTCTAGCCGTAGCAATACTCGTAGTTCTTCGAAAGGTTCGAGTCGTAGCAATATCGGTAAGACTTCGAAAAGTAAGAGCAGTGCTTAAAGTGCTGCGAAAAGCTTTCGCATTATTCCACTTAGCTTTAAGTTATAAGATCGGAAAGGTTTTTATCGCGTATCGGCAGCTTGCTAAGTAGTTAATGCAATAGATTTTTCGTATGCTTTTTTTAATCAGCTTTCGAATAAAGTCCGCTTTATGTGTATAACATACTCGTATATAATAGATCGAAAGCATATAAGTATAATAACGTAAAGTCTTTTAATATAAAAAAAGAAATAAAAAAAGTATAAAAAGAAAGAAAATAAAGAAAACTAAACTCAAATAAAAAAAAAATGAAAAATCAAATCTAAACTCGTCTTTTTTTTACGTATAATTATGCTTTTATAACTTAATCACTTTCTGTTGCTTTTTTATTATTGCTTATAAAAACTCTTGCGTATTAGCTCCGTTGCTTTTCCGTAAAGCTAAGTAATCGAATAACAAATCTATTTAAGCGCTTAATTTAAAAGCCGGACTCGGCCACTTTATTTAATAAAAGCTGTTTTAAAGATCTTTTTGTTTAAAGTTTAAAGCGAAGTAGTAATACTTCGAAAGTATATCGCACGTAAAACTTTTTTAATCGATTATCGGCAAATGTTTTATTTAATAAAGCTTCGTCCTTTCTTAGCTCTTTTAACTTATAATATCCTTTTATATTTACCGACGAAATTTAATAAAAGCTAAGCTATCGAAAATCTAGCTTCTTAACGTTAGATATATTTATCTTACGTATCGAGTCGTACTTAAAGACTAAGTTATTTATTTTTAAAAGTTTGATTCGAAGGTTTTTTTTATTATTAAAAGCATCTTTTCCTTTTTAGCGGCAACGGGTTTTCTTAAGTATAGCTTTCGTAGCATCTTCGTTTCGCATTCGGAACTAGCGTACTTTTAATTCGATAAGCTTAATACGATTCATTATTAGCTTTTGAAATAACGTAACTTAAGATTAAATTCGAGTTTTAATCGAAAGCATTGCTTTTTTGCCGTATATTATATAAAAAAAAGTAAATCCGATAAAAGTATGCACCGAAGTGCGGTCGGCGAATAAAACGATTAGCAATTGCGCAATCTAGTCGGTGCTTTTAAGCTTATTTAATACGTTTTTAATTAGTTCGTAGCCGCGTTTTATTATTTTATTCGCTTAAAAGTAGTATATTAAGACTACGATTCGATTAATTTTTTAATTGTTAAGTAAATCGATTACCTTTTTTTTAAACTCCGAACCTCCGTCGATTATTAGTTAAAAGAAAATCTTATAGCGGCAGATAATATCTTTTTAAATAAACTTAATTATCGAAAGCGAGTCTCGGGTCCGAATCGCTTTCGCTTCGACTTATTTATTTATATCGTTTTTAATAATAATTAAATAGCTTTTGCTATTACGTGCAAATAGATAAGTAATATCGATAGCTTAACGTTTTATTAAGCTATTAGATCGAGTAAGATATAATAGCTCTTCGAGCTTATTAGCTGCTCGATGCTAGTATTTTTTATAAGTCTTAACTAATCGTTTAACGTTTATATAGCATTTATTTTAAAAGTAGCGCTAAGATATACGGTAGTAAGTTGATTCACGGCTTTTATAATTACTTTTATCGTAATAAGCTATAATAATATCCGTTTTAATCGAAAGTTTATTAATTATTAATCGAAAAAGAAAACCTTTTGTCGAAAGTCTTTAAAGCTTTTTATCGTTTACTTCGTACTTAATAGCTTCTTTTTTAAATTTACGGCATTCCGCTTTATTTAAATCTTTAAGTCTTCGTAAAGTCGTTAAAAAAGTAATTATTCGAATTAATTTCGAAAAGTATTCGATTAAGTTTAAAAGACTTTTATAATCGTAATCGTCGTTAAACTCGTTTAAATTTGCATTTTCCGCTTTTTTTAAGCGTTAAAACATATCTTTAAGAATAAATTAGCGAATATCTATTAAAAAGTCCGTCGAAAGTTTTTTAAAGCCGTCTCGAGCTTTAATAAGTCTTAAGTCGGCTAATAAGCTATTATCGAACTTATTTTTATTTTTTTCGCTT